ATTAAAGCGGGTAGAAACCCAACGCTTGACTCTCCATGATTGGGTCAACACCTCAAACTCTCCCCTCTTCCCGGTCCTTGTTGCAGTGTCGTCGCAGAGCGCTACCGGTCGTGAACCAGCCTACCCGGCGGTCTCGGATCGCGAGAGGCGGGAACGCAAAACCGCTACCCGGTCGTGTTGACCGCCAAGCTGATCGACCCGGGCCTACCTATTGAAATAGAATGGGTCTTTGGTATTAAAATCCCTTTGTTTTTGGAAGATAGGCGAGTGAACGATTACTTGGCAACCTCTGGTTTTCTATGTTGTCAACCTTCATATTCGTTCTGGGAAGTACCACCCTTGATTTTGGTCTTGATTTCCTTTATAAGCTGTAGAGAAGTGGCTCGCCTGGGATTCCTTGGGCCCCTTCTTGGATCTGGGGCCCCCCTTACACATCCAAGCCTTTCAATCATCAACAGTGGTCATGGTGTCTCCAAAGATTGAAAGGCTTGTGGGACAGAGATTAATGACAGGAAAATAAGACCGTAGACCCCCCCAGTTAGACTTGTGGGAGAATCAAACAACGACATACAAAGACTAGATTCTAGATCCATTGGTTGGGAGGTCCTTAATAAAATGCACACCCAAGTGAAAATCAGAGGCCACTTGAAAAAGATCATCATGGTGCTTTCCCCCACACACCATGCTTTTCCCTTGTGAAGGTGGATGGCATGTGGGCCCATCTAAGCTTGTGCCACCAAACCTGCAATGTGTTGGTGTAGCAAAGGCAACCAAAAGTGCCAAAGATCATCCAAGGCTCTGCCCATCCTCCAAGCAAAGATGTGCAGCGGGACCAGAAGACCCACGCAGCTCAAGCATGTCTGGGTCGAGTTTCCAGCTAAGTAGACCTTCCAACCTGTCATGTCGGCGCATCCAAAATCTGAAGCTGATTGATCGGTCTTCAGCTTATCTTCCCATCGGACTTTTCTGACGCTCTCGGACTCGCGCCTCTGGCATCATCTGCCAGGCTCTCCGAAACAATGAACATGCACAGAAGATAAAGCCTGGATCTCCCGAGCTGTGAAAACCTTGAGATTCTCCGACTGCTAGGGTCTAGGGTTCTCTTCTGAAACATACAGGACGATTCCACACGGTAAAGCAAAAAAGGAAATTAGGGAGCCAAAATGGCATACAAGATTGAGGATCCCCACTATATGGTTCACATCTCAATATGTCCCTACCCAACCAACCATTCATATTGATTGATAAGAAACATACAGGACGATTCCACACGGTAAAGCAGGCATCTTTTTCCGTGGAGAATGAACTCTCAAATCTGCCTTGAAAAGGGCGGTGGTTCAGCAGACCTTACACGCTCCTTATATGAACAGTAGTGTCAGCAGTGTTAAAATAACACTGGGAAATCAGTCGTGGTTGGTAACACACAGACTAGCTTTTTATGTCATCTTTGATGAACATACCTGATCACCCACTGTTAAATAACCATCACCCACTGTTCACTAAGGAGAGGAAAGGTTGTAGGTCCGTAGGCTTAGCCACAAAAAGGAGTTCGACTGGGAAGGACAACTCGCGCAAATGCCAGGGTTGGGTTTGGGTCCAGGAATCCTCAATACCCAACCTGGACAACCCGTCTGACGGGTTACTGGCAGAGTCGATCCATTCAAACCACGGTCGAATCTGGCGTTTCTGGAAAATCAGATGTGACATCTGGACAATGGTGTGAACGTCTTCTTGTCCGCTGGAACCTTTAATTAATGAGGAAACAGCAGCCTCATTATCAACGAACCAGAGGAGATCTCGACCCTCCAGGAGATCACCATGGACCCACGGCACGAGGAGTCCACAAAGCGTCTCTCCAGGGTGGATCTGCTGATGACGTGTTATCCAGGTATCTGTCACTTCCGATGGGACGAGACACGACACTCCTAATGGAGGTGAGGTCATAAGTACCCATCCCACTCGTAATGCACCGTTTTCGAAGGATGCATCCGAGTAAATCACCAGGGGGGATTTGGTAGCGGAGCACACCTCAACATCCCGGGGCCTGGCTGTGCGAAGCATGATGCTGAGAAGGTGGAGGGTGGTGGCCTCAGATTCCAGTAGGACAGGGGATGAGGCATGTTGCTTTGCGGCCAGCACAGGGCCAGCAAAGCGGCCTGCATGTCCTGCGCACATGCTGAAAAGCCAGTTGAGGTCACCACGAAGTTTCCCTGCATCATCTGGGCGGAGTTGCTTGGTCACAATCGCCTCGTGGAGCTTGGCTTGGACTTTCATGGTTGTGGAAGTCTTTGGTTGGAAACGGATGACCCCCAACCAGCCAAAGTCTCCTACGTGGACAGATGTGCCCAGGTAATGCCTATTGGGCGCAGGTGCGAAGCTCTTGGAACTCTGCGGTGGGGCACCTAACAACTTGAACACAAGTTGTAGGTTTCTTTGGGAGACATCGCAATCACGAATGCACTCCACTGCCAGTTCGTCATCAAAGTACGCAGCTGCACACCCTAATAGGCAGCGCCTAGTGATGGCGATACCAAGTTGTGGGAAACGGTTGAAGTTCACCACAGCACTTTCCAAGCCATACGCCAGACCCCACATACATGTGAATCTCCAGCCCACCCCCGGCACGAAAATAGCCACATTTGAAAAGGGTAGGTGGGAATCGGCGACAGGCAAACCCCGATAGGCATCCGGTAGGTCATCCGTACCCAGACGGAGGTCCAGCCATTCTGGGGGTTCCCCAAGAGAAAAGGGCATCTCTGTATGCAACATACGTGCTACGGACGCACAGAAATCAACATTGACAGTTGATATTGTTTCGTGCATCGTAGTATGGGCATTATGACCACTTTTCCTGGCGTTATCAATGGCCCGTTTCTTCCCATCGGGTTGAATGATGAGGAAACGTTCCACGAAACGCCACCCCCCAACCCCAAACAAATCATCCATTTCAAGTGCTGTGCGCAAAGGCGAGCAAAATTCTTTTTCTATCTCGTCCTGTGTCAACTCCAGGGTGTCTTGGACATGCTGTGGAGGGCGTGAGCTCAAGAGGCGAGCAAGGTCAGCCTCGGCCGCTGGTCCAAGCCATTGGTCCAAAGCCAACTTCCCTTCTTGGATGATAGGGCGGAAAACCCCGGAATGCGCCAAGTCACCCACAATCTCGAAACCCAAAACCAAAGCTCTGGCTAACATCTTGTCTGGCCATCGTAACAGCGCAACCATCGTGGCCAGAAAGGCTGGTTTCTTGCCCGCCGCCACCTTTCGAGCGCTCTGGCATCGAAAAGGCTTCAGCGTGTCCTCCAAGGGTTGCACCGCGCGCGCCACTGTCAGGAGGACGTGGCGTAGCTTCTCGGCCCACCGCGGGAGAACCTGTTGCCAGGTAGCCACAGCCTGGACAACAAATTCAACATCTGGTTCAGGCCATGGGCGGGGGTCAAAGGGTGATGGTAGCTTCAATGCAGCTGCAATGTGTGCCTCTTTGCCCAGTCCTGGCTGAAGGAGGTGGTCCAAGCCTTTTGCCGAGTTGCTAGCATACCGTTGGCCGGTGAGACCAGCATAAATAGCTGCCCGTTCCCGGCCCCACACTGGCGTAGGTCCGAGCAAAGACCAAGGTTCCTGTCGCAAGCGGCGCCACATTGGGTAGGCCTGCAGCGCGGACAGCTCACAGGCTGCCAGCCTCTGAGAGACCTCGGCCCAAACGGTGTTTGACGCTTGCACAAAAGGGAACGCAGCCTGCAGTTCTTCACAGATTGTGCGAGAGGTCAGCAATCCCGGCATAGCGGCCAACCGTCCTGGCATCCAGATTGTATTGTTCAACCGCGCCCCCAGGGCGAGTTCGTCCAGGTCAAGTGGCTGTCTGGTCAGCTTGGACCCCATGATGGATGGCAAGCAACACAACAGCGCCATGACACTCGGGAGGTGGAAACCATTGCCCAGTAAGGAGTTGCGGATCTTAGTGCGCTGATCTTGGGAGCCTTTCACGGCCTGGGTGGCAGCCACAGGCACACCCAGCAGTTGGGATCTCTCATCTGGTGAGGGCTGCCTCCAGTGGTCGCCAGACCACAACAGAGAATTCTCTTCATAGGCTGCCGGGGGGAAACGACGGTAGTCCTGATGAAAGCGCGCCGCAGCTGCAGGTGTTGCCTGGGCAACCCGGTCAGCAGGGTGGAAGAACTCCCGTGTGAATGGATGCATAGCTCCCGACCCTTGCTCCTTCACCACCTTCTTGGGATCCACGAGGGGGCGGAACTGATCATCCCACCAGACTTGGGCTGGGATGGGTTTCTTGCCCGTGTACTGCAACACCGGATGGTGTTCCCCGGGGCCCTCACGCCAAACCCAGTCTGACGGTGGCACACAGGTAGGCGACAGCCCCCCGGTTCGAGAGGCCAGCCAATAGAGACGGCGGCGGACACCCGGCCGCATCAATCAGCACTGGCTGGGTGCCAAGCCATGCTGAGTATTGGTCACATACCGTTTGAGGCATACTGGCCACGTTTTCCAAAAACGTGATGATCTCACAATGACCGGCCTCAGGTAGGGCCATGATTTCGTCTCGAATGCGCTGAAGGTGACTCGGCTGTTGGGATCGAGGGTCACGGAGGCCCTTCCTGCCCCGATTCAGGCTTGAGTTGCCCTGGCATGGAGAACCGCCGCCCAGGATGATGCCTCGTACCTGACGCCTCTGCAAGAACGGCCGTAGGTCCACTCCCTGAATGGCCTCAACCGAGTCGATGTGGACCAAGTTTGGCATCGTGGCTTGAGAAGCTGCTCGGGCATCTGGGTCACTCTCAGCACTGATTGCATAAATGTGGACTCCAAGAGCGAGCAAGGCGAGACAAAGCCCTCCAATGCCAGCCCAAAGGTCAACCACCAGCCATGTCCCTCTGATAGCATTCCCCCATGGAAATTGCGGTAGGTCTCCACGGCCTCGCCATGTGACCGGTCTCGCACCGACAAGACGGGTAGCCAGTGCTGTAGGGTTGAGCTCCTGGGGATCGCACAAGTTGGGGCTTGGTGGAGCAAGTGCCCTCGAAAGCACACAAGCTCCATTCGGGGCGTGCTCAACCAACACCCTTCCGCCGCACAACATCGTTGTTGGGATGTCCTGATGGTCGGGCGTCGGTGGATGAAGATGCACTGGCATTTTCATGTACGGGTATAATATAATCCAATGATGGTGGTTTGGCCATTTCGGATGGCCTGGTCTTGCATCTCAAGCGCAGCAATGGTTTCTGAGCACTAGGGGCAGGGCTTATTGGCTTAGAAGGTCTAGGTTGGGGTGTTTGTCTGCAAATAGTGCGTCGGATGTTGTTACGATCCTTCCATGGCCATGTGTGTCCGCATGCAGTGCAATTGATCTTCCCTTCATCTTCTCGGCCAACAACCTTACCAAGTTTGCGATTCCACTCTAATGTATGTTTACTAGTGGCGTTGTAGTCCGTAAGGAGTTTTTGGAAAGCATCGTCTAAGCGCTTTTCACTTTGGTTGAACCCTTCCTTCTCCAAGATTATGGGGGAATCCCGCTGAGCGCATGGCTGACTTGTGATTTTTAGACGTATATGCTCGGATCTAGCCACAAACTTACCACATTTACAGCAAAACACACCAGGCTGGTTATTTGGGCGAGGCTTAAGGACATGACCATTCTGGTCGATCGGCGCAGCTTCAGAAGATTGTGCAGTTCGCGCAGTTTCACTGCGTTGGCCGGATTTGAAGTCTTGGATATACTGTCGCCAAATGTTAACCAGAGTTTGTTGCAGGATTAAGACTTGTTGGTCGGGCATGTTAAGGTGTTGGGGGATGAGGGCAGCGTATTGAGTACAGGTAGGCAAAGTGCGAAAGTCAATGTGTTGAATAGGTTTACGCAGGTCTGCAAAAAGGGGGCAGGACCATGAGATGTGTAGTACTGTCGGGTCACCACCGCAAGGACATTGAACGGGTTGCAAATCTTTTCGATGCCGTGCATCCCGTTCCTCGGTCATGAGACCCCCAACTAGCAGGCGCCTCAGCACCCCCTGCTGCATGAAGATTTGCTCGTCGGCGGTCATTAGGGCAAGGTGATCTAATTTTTTATACAATAGAAGGGTCCTTCTAAAGTCGAGATTAGTCACATCGTGAAAGTGCTGGGGCCTATTTTTGGCGGCTTTTTGCAAAAGTTCGGCCCTCCAACAGTCACGTAATTGATGTGCCCATAGCTCAATATTAAGGACTTGGTCATTTATCAGTTGCTTCACGAGTGCTTGGAAAGGTCCTTTCAATATCCGCTGTACTCGACTGACTGGACCGTCGAAATTCCGGCTTGACTTAGCACGAAGCAAATGTTGAAAGTCCCGGCGAAAAGTAGGATTATTTAAACAGCGCGCTAAGGTTCGAAGTCCTTGATAGGTGTGACTGAACAATGGATCAAGTTGCGCTGGCAACAGAATGGCAAAAGACAAATGAGTGTTGCGCGAGTAAAAATCAAGCGAGAACATTGCCCGCATGATGCTAGATCTGATACGGGTCAGGGTCGGTTCATCTATACCACAAGAATGAGTGCCCTGGCCATAAGTGGCTTGGGAGGACGTGGCAAGGAGCATCTTGGACTTGTCCCGCCAGGGGAGAGGACAATGTCGCATCCGTATTACGGTTTTATGCCATTTTGCAAATCTACCTTTTTCAACCTCGGAGGCGTTCGCTTGCTGGTGTTCTGTAACAAAGGAGCCGCCCACAATTTTAAAACGTTGCAGATGTGGAAAATCAACATGTATTTTGCGTTTCAAGCAAGGGTGTCCAAAGGTAAAGCTCTTCTCAGTGGCAATTTCACCGAATCGGATTTCTTCCAAAGCACGAACAATGCGATCAAACTTAGCGATGCTACGAGTGAGGTCCGCAGTCGTGGAAGAAACACAAGATGCGGAGACATCGTCGGCGTAGGTACGTGCGACAACTTCGGGGCACTGAATGGATGCAATTTCAAGAATACAGGATACAACTGCATTAAGTCCTATCATTGACAAGGGGCAACCTTGTAAAAGGCCGTTGTTGGCAGACCACCAGGGTCCGCAGGAACCTCTAAGACGGAAGACTCTGTGCAATGAGCTGTAAATGGCTTTGAGTGGGTTGACAATCCTCGGATGCATTCCCCTGGCAACCAAGGCACTGAAAAGCAGCTCGAAGGGGACCAGGTCAAATGCTTTGCGGAAATCATAGGCGACTCCTCCTGCCGCGGACTGTTGTTCAACTGCACACTTCTCCAGATGCAGTGCAATCTGAAGACACATGGCTTCGGCCCCTCTTTGTTTACGACAACCCCATACCTCTTTATGACACCACTGTTCCTGCCATTCAAGAGAAAGGTTGAAACGGGCTTTTGCCCATAAGCGGTAAATGGCACTAAGAACCGAAATGGGACGAAAATCCACGGGTTTAGGGGAATCAGACATACCATCCTTTGGTATTAAAGCAGTATACGCCTTACATAATGGGGTGGGCCAAATGGAGTGCTCTTCAATCCAATTAAGGATATCCGCTAATCCATCATAGAGACATGGGAACCATTTACTAAGTGCAATCAAGGACTGAGGCGACCAACCGTCCAGGCTAGGTGAACTGTTTTTGGAGCTCGCGAGGGTTTGGACAAGTTCAGGGCCGGTGAGTGGAGAGAGTGCCATTGGTGATGTTTTCATAAATGGTACAAAGTGCTCTTCGAAAGTCTTAATATCAGGCAAAGTTTGTGCAAACTTTTGGAAGATCGGGAGCCAATCGTTGTGAATCGCCTCCAATTGTGATTCGGTGTTGGCGGTAAAAATACCAGATGGTAGTTTCATGGTGATGTCTACCGGGGTATTAGGGGACTTGAGCCACTGGTAGGCATGCTTCTCAGACTGGGCAAGTTTGGACTTCCAAGCTTTGATCCGGGCCTGTTTGTCACTAGCTTGAGAGACCTGAAGGTTTTGACGAAGGATCTGTGCACAAGAAAGAAGGGCATCAGTGTTGATGGAATCATTAATAAATTTCGAGAATGCTAATTGGTCACGGGTATCAAGACTGGGTAAGACTTTGCTTAGATTTTTCCATGTATTCAAGCTCTGTTGTCCAAAACATGGCGATCGCAGCAACTCTTGGACTCTGCCAAGAGCATCGGCAATACGTCTGGAGCGTAGGTTAAGGGAATGTGCGTCTCGTTGACGGGGAACGACACACTGCCTCTGGAAACGAACTTGACCTCTGTGCTTACCCGTATCATACATGACACGAGAGTTGAGTGTGTGTGGGATCTTGTGAAGCATGTCTTGCGCAAGGTCACACCAGGTTTGGAAGGCATCATCAATACGGTTTTGTCTGAGTTGCTGACGAATGCGAGTTGTACTATCAATAGTGGGGGGAACATAATCAGCAGGAGTGTTATCATATGGGACAGGGATGTGCTCATTAGGTTGCGAAACCACATATCTAAACTGCGCATTTCGAGGCAAAGTGAAGGCAACATGAACTTCACTGTGATCTTTTGGTAGAACACCTGGGACAACCGTGTACGTTTCCACTAATCCTGCTGCCAGCGAATTGGTGAAAACAAAATCAATGCGCGAACCATTAGCTTTGTGCGATGTATGTTTTGCTTGTTCTGCAGGGCAACCTAATTGATGGGCATCGAACCACTGATGCGTATTCAAAAGGGTCTGAAGAAGTTTGCTCTCACTGACTTGGATATTAAAGTCACCAACTACACACACAGGCATGGAGCCTCGGCCAGCGATGTCTAGAGTTATAGCCGAGACCATTTCTTCGAGTTCGTCTTTCTTGCGTTGTTCCCATCTGGCCCCTGCAGGACCGTATACAATGTAAATCAACATGGACCGGGCGCCACAACCGTAGAATATCTGCGCCAACAACAGCCTGCCGTTCTTATAATATTTATCGAGAGGAGTGTCTGCCAAAGAAATAGTCTTAGTTTGCCACAAAGAACCCTGTTTGACGAGGGCCGCAACCCCAGTCCTGGATCCTTGCCTGACAGGTGCTCCCCAATGCAGGTGGAAATCCCTGGCTACATAGGGTAAAGAAGCTTGCATAGAGGCTGTGCAGTGGGTCTCTATCAAAGCGGTGAAAGACTCACACCGGTTCAGCACTTGTTCCCAACGGCCCTCAGCGGAGAGGCCATTAGTGTTTGCGACACATAAATGAAATCTCTGACTATCAGACGCGGGGGCAAAGGCAGCTGTGTTTCCACACAGGATGTGCATCAGCTTGTTTCTCTTTTTCATCACAAGTGCCCACAAGTATATGGAGGTGAGAAAGGCTACAGCAGAGATTCTTCCCCTTTTTTGGCATCAGGGGTCATTCCCGTCTTAGGAGGTTCTTTTCGCTTCGAGGGATCTTTCTTGGGCGATGAGGCCGCATTGGCAGCCGCACCAGGGAGGGATGCCACGAAAGCTTTCTGCCTGGTCATACGATCACTCTGCTTCGGTGCATTCGGCTTGGACGCAGAAGCAGAACTGCTGTTCTGTGCTTTGGCTTGGTCTTTGGCAACGTCGTTCACAGCTTTAATGTGGAATTGCCGTTTCGTGCCATTCTGCATGAAATATCCCGAATCCAGCTTCCCAGGTCGAGAAGCAAGCCAGACACCAGACCCATCGGAGACATACAAGATTTCCACGTCCTGGAAGCCTCGCTGGGTCAGCCAGGCCAACAAGCCATACGCGCCCACGGTGGTGTCGATGCCATAAATTTTCCATCGTCCCAGGGCTGTGACGTCAATCAACGAATAAGACTCAGCAAATTCTTTCAAGCGCTCAGCACACATAAAGCGAATTGCGTATTTTGGCTTGGCGGAGTTCCCTTTTCGCGCGACGCCGTAGGCGTCTTGGTGATCAGCCATTTTGATGGCTTCCTCGAGAGAGGTACCATCCTCAAGCCACAGCAACAAGAGCTCCTTAGTAGGCTTCGATTCCTTGAAGAAGATAGATCGTCGGCCGGACGCCCGCAAAAGGGTGTCCGTGTAGTCGCTATGGACCATGAAAGTAGCTGTGTTGTTGTGTCTGCTCTGCACATCATCAACGGCCTCTTCTGGTAGAAAGTGCGCTAACTCGGCTACGATCAAAGCCGCGGGCAGGGGGCCACTAGGCCAGCCCAAGGCCTCAGGCATCTTGCATGTAAAGCGAGCCATGGTGAAGATCATCGAGACTTCTTCACCCTGCATCACTTGCTCAACAGCTTTCCCCCAACCAAGTTGAACAACATAACGCTTCACACTTGTGATCACACGATCACCTCCAGGGCCCATGGTGCTCAAGTTCAGCCTCAAGAACTGGCGATCATATCCCAACAAGCCCAAAGAGTCAGGGTCCTGTGTAAGTACGGCAGCAATACTTCGGCCACTGAAACCGATTTTTCGGATCACCTCTGCCAAGAACTGCTTTGGGACAACAGCAATCCCATCACCCTTTCCAAGGCTCTGCCACGGAACAACTGGCACCGACCACTCACTTTCAATGAGGGTGCTCTGAGCCCTCAGCCGAGCGGCGTCGGGAAGAGCCAACAACACTTGCTGTCGGACATCCAACTGTGGATCCATAGGCGTCGAACTTGAAGAGGCAACCTCAATTGAAGGGCTCCCTGTAACGGGCACGGCAGTCGAAACAGGCTTACCACGGCCTTTGCCTTTGCCCTTTGCGCCACCGTTGCCATTCACACTGTGCATCAAACGATTGCGGACCTTCCTGCCGACGTACCACATGCAACGAAGCTTCAACAAGGACAAGCATACAAGCCAATATTGGAAAACCGACTCTCTGTACAAGAGGTGCTTCGTCAGAGCTGAACAAATCTGTCGCGTCGAAAGGCAAATCAACTTGGCCAAGAAAGCACTGTAGAAGCATCCCAGGGTCAAGAACAACATAGCACCAGCAATTCGCTCTTTGCGAACTCGTCTGCAGGAACGGTAGCGACGTCCCTTGACGGTTCTGCACATCATGCACTGTCGAAAGCGAACATGGACAGGTAAGCAGTTAACAAGAGAAGGCCAAAAAAGGCCGGAGAACATATGGAAAAGATAGTTGGAAAAAACCTGCAAAAGTTCATCAAGCAGGGTATGTTTAGATACGAAATCGTCGTTTGCGTTGACCAAAATGGTCAAAGTGAGCAAAGCCAAAATGGCTGTGTAAGAACCATGAATCATCATGTGGAATAATCTGTGACAAGCACGGCGCACACACCGTCTCACCTCCTCACTTCGCTCTCTCGCCTCCGGTGTGTGTGCGACGAAGTGGATCATAGGTGCCGGAGGCTCCTGGGGATCGCACAAGGTGACCTGTCGTCTTGCTTGCAATGGCGTAGCTGAGGTGTCACACTGGTGCCCTGGACGCTCAACCCCCCGCAGCTCCCAGGCTGCCAGGGGGAGTTGTCCCTATTCAGTGGGGTGATCCAGCCGGGGGTGTGGCCCCTGACATGGCTTACCTGACGGGAGTTTGACATCACATTTGTGTACCTGCGGGCACTTCTGGTTGGTGCAGCCCCTGCCATCATTCCATGGCTTGCAAAGTTTGATGCCTCCCTTCAGCATGGAGATCGTTTGGGGGGCGTCCGTCTTGATCTGGCGCCGCTTGGGTGCAGGAGGCACAACCTCACTAGCACCCGGCGCTGCCCGCTTGGGAGGAGCAGCTGGCTCGTTGGGGACAGCCTGGATAGCACTGGCCCGCCATTCAAGGTGTGTCTCCCGGAGAGCCTCCTGCAAGGCCTCCCATGCATTGTAGCCCTGACGAATGTAGCTGGCCATCTTGGTGCGGGTCAGGAGGTCATTACGCTCCAGCCACAGGCGGGAACCCTGGCCAAATTCCATAGCACTATGGAGGGCGTGGTCAGCATAGTTCAGGGCCGCCGTGAGGGAGATGAAGACGGTCTCCTTGCCATCATGACCACGTTGCTGGTGCAACCCAGCCCACGCCCAAGCATAGGCCAGAGTACGGAGTGACCAGTAGTAGTCCACAACATTGCGGATGGTGCGAGACTCCTCTGTATGAAATTCAAGTTGGATACCTTCTCCCAATTTCACCGCATCTTGCTGCCTGGGCGTTGCTTGATGAAGGACTGACTTGATGCGGGAAGCAGGTACGACTGACATTGTCCTCTTTCGGAATTCTCTATAAACCCGGGCTCGCAGAGCATCACTGGGTTCAAGAGTGGCTTCAATGATGAGGCCGTACCGGGTCCGGAAGTCCCGGTTGAGTTGATCCATGGTGGATTCAGGCAATGGATCATCCACCCCTTTCGGTCGATTTTGCCGCTTGGGCGGCCTGCTTGATAGCCTCCGCCCCTGCTGAATAGGCCGCACGCAGGCGAGCCTGAGCCAACCGGTTGTCCTTCAAGGTGGTCGGGTCCAGCAAGGTTTGGATAGCCTTCGTGACATCCTTCTCGTCCACGGAGAAGATGAAGTCCTCCAAAGTTTCCCACTTATGGGCCTTGATCACGGCCTCGGCCCACTCCGGAAGCATGTTGGCAGTGCTCAGACATGTGGCCAAGCCCCTGTCATCCTGGAGGGTATCGATCTTATGTCCGTGGCTCATGGCAGGTTGCTGAGGGTGTATACCAGGTGCCTGTAGGCACACAGGGCACACTGGGCCACTCAGAAGCACTGTGCGACGGTGTCCGAAAACACCGAGGCTGATGCATTGGGCCATGGTTGCGGTGTCGAAGACACATCACAAACACAGGGAACCCAGACCGAAATGCCTCCCCCCCCCCGTGTAGGTTGGCAGGTTGACTCCAATCAAACCCCACTCCCACAACAAGCGGGATGCGAGAGGGAACCCGACTCCGGACTCCGCACCGGCCACGGTCCCAGGGTACCGAGGTGACCACCCGGAGAAGCTGATTCATTGTCGGGGGCTTCTGGCTCAGGCTCGGGCCCAGTATCCACGTGCACCGGCAGCTCCCGCACATCGGCTGACCCACGGGCCGTGGAGGCATCCTCCGGAAGGTCAGGGGAGCTCTCCACAGGTGGTGGTGCTGGGAGCTCAGTCCCAAGGTCACCGAGCTGCTCATTTTGGGCTGCCACCTCCGCCAGTCACGAGGGTGGAGACCATCATCAGTCAAGGCCAACTCCGCCTTCTTGGCGTTGTAAAGCCGCATGAAGCGCTTCAAAAGCGCCTTCTTCACCTGAGCTGAGTGAAGGGCGCGTTGCCCGCTGTAATGGATTCCCATGGTCCATGTGGCCCGAGATTTCTGATTGGGAATGGGCCCACCACCAGTAGGGATCTCCACCCAATTGCCCACCGCCTGCTGGTCCTGCGGGGACAACCGGAACACATTGCCCAAAGTGGGGAGGAACCGTCTCAGACGGTTGAATCCCGCCGTCTGGGCCTGGTCGGAGGCTGTGCCCAGATCAAGGAGGGCCCCTCGCAGCAACTCAAGGAACCGTCCACGGGATAACTTGCGGTCCAGCTGCCAGGGCGTGTGCTCGGTGACCTGCCACAGGTCAAGGGGGTCCAACTGTAGGGCCGGCCAAAGGTAAGTACCACCCGGCAGGAGCTCCATGGTGACAAAATCCTGGATGATCTTGACCAAGCTGAAGCCAGGCCAGGGGATCTCCGGCATGGCCCATTGAAAGGCAGGCCGTGCACCCTGGCGCCGGGCCTTGCCTTGGGAGCATGTGAAGAAGAGGGCGTTGGCCTCGCACCGATCGAACTTGGACCTTTGTATGTGTTCGAAGCGGATACAGGACACAGCGGCCCACAGCAGAAATGCGAGCACCATGGTATTCGTGCCCGAACTTTGGCGCAACTTGAGGATCAGGTTCACGAACTCCCAGGGTTGTAATTCCAGCTTTTGTTGCGAGGTGTGGCCAACTGGAAGCAGCTTGTAGCTCCGCACCAACCAGTGGTCCAGGGGGAACCCCAAACTGAGACCGAAACCAGTTGAGGGCATGAAACACAGACGAAGCTGCTGTCGGGCCACCCCTGGCGACCTCCTTGAGGAAGGTGTTCAACTGTAAGGGAGAGGGTTGCTGCACGTCGAACCCAAGGCGAGTGGCAAAGTCTCGCCACCGCCGCAAGGTGCTCACCAGAGCGCCCAAGCGGTGCACAGAGAGCCGGTCCCCGGCTGGCATGACTGACTCCTTGAGGAGCTGCATCACGAAGCTGGCTCCGGGACACTCCTAACTCCTCAAGGTTGAGAAAGTCCTGCACGAGCAACTCGAAGAGGGTCTGCGTCTTGGCCACCTTCGCCGCTTGCTCCTTGACGTATGGGTCCTTGGCCGCAAGGTTCACGAGGATGGGAGGTTCCCGGACCTCGCCGATCTCCAGAAGCCGGCGCACAGGCCTAGCCACTGGCGGAGGCGAAGCTTCCGGCCGAGAAGGTGCGGATGTGGAGATAGCCGATTGGCGGTGAATGCAAATCTCCTTCAACTTCTGGCGCTGGGAGGCCTGAGCACGTTGGGAGGCCAACGTCCAGAAGGAGACTATAGTAAAGCCCTCCTCCGCAACCACTGTGCCGTGGTGGCGTTCGAACTCGTCCAGCAATGCCCCCCCCGGACTGCCAAAGGCCCTGAACATCTTCACACGTCTGGACACCCAGGTCCACGAGGTGGTTGACGAGGGCTGTCGGCCTATCGACCAGAAGGTCCTGCAGCAGGCCCTCCATGGGCTGATCAGGTCGCAACGCTGGGAGGTGGATCGTGGACGGGTTGCTAGACCGCGTAGGAGGCCTTGATGGACTTCGGGGCCGTGTAGTATTGCGGGGCCGTCGTTTGGGTTCCAAACCCTCTGACTCCGGCCGCGACCGCTTAGGCGCCTCCATGCGCCACGGGACGGCAAAGGGCCCCTGTCCCAGACAGGGCGCCCCCCCGCACCCCCCAATTCCTTCCTGCCACCCCCAGGGCAAACGCTAGACGGTGGCCATGGAAAAAGGAAATTAGGGAGCCCCCAATCTTGAGCCAAAATGGCATACAAGATTGAGGATCCCCACTATATGTTTCACATCTCAATATGTCCCTACCCAACCAACCATTCATATTGATTGATAAGAAACCTATGCCCTTACCTAGGGATCTTTCCTGAAGGAGCACTTCCTCCAAGCGCCCCAACAACCGGTTTACAAAAACCGGTTGATGCTGGTCATGTCTCCGTTCAGAATCGCGACTCCTGAACGGAAACCAAGGCGCAAGACGTGCAGAAACCAAAGGCGATGAGTCGCAGCGAAGACTCCCCACCAAGAATGAAGCTCCCGATGGGTCTTGACCTGGGAGCGGAAGCTTTGTGCGCCCAAACCCGTAGACCAAGAAGGGTCGGCAGTCCGTCCGAGGGGAGATGCTTAGACCGACCTCGATGGATTTCTTGAAAGGAGGCATGAAAGGAGGTTCTAACGATCCAAGTGGGCTTCCTAGTCCTTCCAGTGAAGCTCTGCACAAGAAATGTCATGCCTGATATATTCAGAAAAAAGTATCAAGCAAAAACAGCGAACACTCCAGGTGAACCACCAGCTTCACTCAGGTTCTGACTCCTGAAAGCTTTTGCTTCCAGTTCACCTGGTCAGACTGGTCTCGTCAAGTCATGCCAAAAGTCCCAGGTCACCAGATTGCTCACGAGAAACGGTTTCAGCGCCCGGCCGTCTTCAACTGATGGTAGGTGTCAATGTCGTTCTCCTGCAGCCATTCCAACGTAGTGCAAAGCCGGTCTGCGTCCATAAAGAGTTCGTTCCTCGAAAAGGTGGATCACAGCGGCCCTGTGGATCACTGATGTCCAAATGGTGAGACCGGTCATTCCAGCGGGGCCAGAGAAAATGGAGCCTTTTCAAACCAATGAGCACCTTGCAAAAAAGGAGGAAAACATCATGAATTTCTTTTGCAATCTGCACTTTGACCTCCTGATGCGATTTTGGTGTCCTACCTTTTTGAACTGGTGTTAAGCTCTCAATCTAGCAGATACTCGCAGATAACCCCTCAGCCAATGAGTTCCAGGCCAGTCGTCATAGTTGGCGCCTCAAGATAATGATCCACAAAAGGCGATCAGCACACTGTAATGAGATTTATATAAGACACTATATAGACTCAGTAATTACTTCAGACTTACACATGGATGCATGGATCGTCTGCCGAACATAGAAAGTAAATGCCGCCAGAGAGCTATCTGCTGGCAAGTAGGTGTCGAAGCCTTCCCGCAGCTTTTTGGCATCCTGGATACATGGAAAATGTCTCAATCCAACTCGAGGTCGATGCTTTCGTTGCTTTCTTTCTCATGTCCGAGCTGATGTTCCTTCACTGAACAGCCTGCCTTGTTGCTCTTCACGGCAACACACTCATGGTGCTCTTCGAAAACCACCTCTTCAGTTGGAGTGGTGTGTTGGGAAGCTTCAAGGCTTCACGGCTTGTTCTATCAAACTTCCACCTGTGAAGGTGATCTGTCTGATCCACGAGGAGAGTGTGATGCAACGGTAGAAAGGTCGGGAAAGCCAGTGGATCAACCCCTTCCAAACTGGTGCTCAGAAGGAACGCGCCTTGTAAATGGGCCGCACGATGTCAACCAAGAATGCACTGCTTCTGCCTTTGTGAACCTTTGTGAACGAAGCATGGCACCAAGGTCCAACTGCCCATGGCACACCTAGCCAAGCTGCTATACGGGGAGGAGTCGAAACAGACAGAATGTAGGTGATGAAGTACAGCATCTCTGGCATGAATCGCAAATTACCTGACAAAGCTGAAGCAATATCCACAATCCTTGTCAAACATGATGGTAGCATCCAGTTCCAAAATATTGAACTACCAAACTAGATCATTTGAATCTTCAGCTCTACCGGATCAATGAAACACTTGCATCCGGTACACAAAAAAGGAAAACACACGGTCTGGCTCTATTGGCACATCCAAGCGACCGGCTTCACCCCAAACCAGCAAGTAGAGGACAATGTTCTGGAAGCACCGTGTCCGACGCCGGCAGAAACGACATCGCGAAAAATAACCACTTTGTTCGGTTTGAACGTCGCTCGAACTGGCAAGTTTGTGTCTTTTACAGTAGTCTCAGAAACTGAATCACTCCACCAGACCGGTTCGTTCCTCTAGCTTTTGCTTCCGGAGCGCCCCGACAGCTGACTGTCCTGGCAAGGTTTTGCGGCGCGGAAGGTGCAACCCCCAAAAAAGGCCAAAGGCCAACGCTGATTCGAGCTATGCCCCGACAGATGAATCGGATGTTTCTTCTCCTGGTCGCAAGCGAACCTTGATCTCAAGCTCATCTCTCCAAGCCAGAAAGCCGTGCAGCAGCTCCTCTCAGATGCAAGGCCCAGCGACTCGCCACGTCCCACGCATTCGCACGAATTGGAAAACGGGATGTCACAGCAACAAGACTTCATAACAGGAGTACGAGCTCGTGTGCGAAAGCATCATATATTCATATATCCGGAACGCATAGGATGCATGCTGGTCGATCGAAATCACAGTCAATGATGGTCAATTGAATGGAAGAAACATGCGAGCAGCTAGCAGCTAGCAGTTGAACTGCAACAACAGCCTTTTTTCTGGTCATTAGCAACACAAAAAGATCCACAGAAAATTGCTCCCTGCAAATCACACCACAAGAACAGCGGGTTTCTCCCTCAATTCTTGACTGCACAATAGGAGTAGGTGGCAATTGCAAGACAAAGTGGTGCGCTTTGCGTTGGAGAGCCGCTGCACGCCTCTTCCAGAGACTCCAAGCCCCTCTCCAATAGATGTCCCTGAAGATCCAAAACACAGCGGAACCAAACACTGCACATGCTCTCATGTAGTGTAGACTTTTGATTCATAGAACCCCCCATATTATGAAGCCGTTTTACAATCCAAATGATGCGGGTGGTGATTTAACTGTTAGTCTACATGACTCTCATGACCATCCGCCACTGTCAGCTTGCCTGATCTGCAGCTCGCCGATCAGCATGCGCGGCACAGTGAGAGCGCCACAGCGACACAAAGTGCTCGAACTGATTTTTCACTGAGTCCTTGCCATGCAAGGACAATGCTAGGATTCCAGTTCCCGTGCATTCTCATCAGTTCACCTGATGTATGTGTTTGAGTTTTGACCTTCCGCTTTGGTCGCAGGCAGTGGCAGTGGTGCCAAACACGCTTATCTGGCGCTTCAATCATTTAGCAAAGCAGTTCCGCCTCTTGAAAGTCAAAGTCCCAGCGGAATTTCGCAAAGGTGTCAACGACCTCCTAGGCACTCGAACCATGCGTTTTGTCTGGGCGGTTGGTTCAAGTCGAAAAGCCAGTGACACTCCCGTGTAGGACCTGCCTTTTAGACCATAAGATTTAGCAAATGCACCTCTTAAGAAGTATTTTGGACTCTTCAATCTCGAACTCCATTGGCCGGTCTAGAGCACCAAAAACTCGGTCGGAGTGCTGAGGCAACAAGGACAAGTGTGGACCAAAGGTCAATCGGTTGACCTTCAACACTCCTTTTGAAGAATTCTGAGTTCGTTTTTGAGCCTTCGTAGGATGTGGAGTTGGATCCCAAACCAGCGTCCTTCGAGAGATCCCCCGGCTCGGATTTGACCAGCTCCACCAATGTGCAGCCTGCGCGACAAGCCGAGCCTTCTAGAACCGCGTTCCTGACTCAAACACTGCGTGAACAGATTGACTCACTCCAACGTGCGTGGGGCAGAAGAACCGTGTGCCTTTCCAACGTCGAGTCAAATCCTCCTTCAGCTTTTGGTCCAATGAGTCGATCTCTCCAGCCGTGTACACCCCGAAATCACCTGAAATCACCCCCCCCCCGCAGAGGAGGGCGATTCCGTGCTTGGTCCGAAGGTCCGGAGGGTGGACGCACCATCTGCTCTTCCCTACGTGGATCAACGGAAACTCATTGGATGGAGGCGGCTGCCTCCATGCCTTGTTGTAAAGCTCCGAAAAAAAGAAGCAGGGCTTCTTGCGACCGGACCGCAACCCACACCAGTCTGAGCGTGTGGCCGGTGGGAGGCTCTGTGCTGCTCACCGAAGGAGATGTCTGTTCGGGCTGCTCGCAGCGAACCAGGCTAGCGCTGTAGAAGGACCTCGAATTCGGACCAATGAGTCAGTTCGAAGACCAGGAGTTCCATGACACTGGTTCAGTTCGCAAAACTGGTTCAACGAATCCTGGCTCAATGGAAGAAACAATCACTAGCTGGAACTCCATGATGTTCCCGTGTGGCTTTTAGGCCCCTCCACTGACAACTCCATGTGACAGGGGCACTCCCAACGAACCTCCATGGAGCACTCCGAAACCGAAATGGCGGAATGAACCCTATGCGTGGCAAAGCAAAGCATGAGACGAACAGCAAATCATCGTCGAACAGCGCATCAGAGCCATGCGATGGGCGGGGAGGGCACGAGGAAAAAGGTTTGTCACATGACTGGTGCTCAACATGGCAGTTATGACTCATGACAGAACACTTCTTCTTTTGGTGGTTGCCCTGTTGGTGCAAGCCAGGACTATATAGACTATATATATATATACCTGACACACACACACACAAATGGAATGATCGAATCTGCCGACTTCTTGGATGCGCACCCTTGGCAGCACTTGGCCACTGCTGCAGCCAGCAGGGATCCAAACACGGCCAGGGCAAGCACCTGAAGACGCAAAGAGAAAATGGAGTTTTAGATTTACAAGATAGGTCGGATGGACTCGTTCTGCGAAACGGAACAAAGGAAGGGGCATGGCACCTTGAAACCGCGAAACCGATGAAATCTGAGTGACAGACACTGGCACGTGCCCACTTGGACTGCGCGCTGCTCACGCAGTATGGAGGACCGGGAATATTGCAGCACTCGCGGTTCCTCTACGCAAAAAGACTTGAGGATGGAGGGAACGTAGGTGTAGGTGAACGAAACAGTGAAAAAGGGTGAAAAGACTGTGGCCTCTGGACCTCAGACGCCTTGTGAGGTGCATCTCCCTGAATAGGCTCCTCATCAGCACAACGCCCCATGCACAGGTTGCCAGCTCTGCTTGCTTCAGAACATCCGTGGCATTGGTCGCCTCGTGGTGATTTGTTGCATTGAGCTGAGCCCACCAAGGTCTGATGGTGGGGTTCAGAGCACAGACTCCCTTTCTGACGAGTCATCATCGTCTGCAGTTCCGAACAGCACGTCTCAAGGTTTGGCAGCCAATCCGAGGGCCCGCCTGGTCGCAGAGTTTTTGCGCATTGGAAATGCGGGTCTTCCAGGATTCGTCCACGGCCTCGAACTGAGTTGAAAGAAACGCGAATTGGACTTTGACTGAGCTCAATTGAGATCAAAGCAATAGAAATGCTGACAGAACAACACGACTCCCTTTTTGAACAGCCTGGCCATAGAGCCCCGCCAAGCGCGAGAAGTCAGTATTGGCCTTGCGACATCCGCGAAAGAGACCGAGTACACGCTTAATTGGGTGTTCCAATGTCCTGGGGGGCTGTCGGTTCGACATTCCTTTCACTGAATGACACCAACAAGAGATATCTTGTTGAGCAACATGTGTTCCTCTTGCGTGCAGAAAAGCGGATGTGGAGAAAACCGCCCAAGGAGGGCCGTTTGAAACGTCTGCGTCCGGGGTCAAGGGCGATGCTTGAGGAACGGGCCCAAAGAATCCGTGGGGGTTTGGTGGTAGGCTGTGGCGAACCATCGCAAAAGCAAGACGGGGAAGAGATGGTCTAGGTCTGAAAGGAAGATGAGTTAGACCTGGAAGATGTCGGATGGATGTTTAGACTGCAACCAGGGAACACATTAGAGGTGGTTGAAACAATGCCTCAGTGCATCTTGGCCCAGACAAGAAAAGAACCAGGAGCAAGTTTAGCACTGTTAAAGACCCAAAAGACCTGTTTCCCAAAAAGACTAGGCCTTCAGAATTCACTCGGTAGGTGCAAAACCCAAAAATCGAAACCGCGACGCCAGTGACACGTGGAGTCCGCCTTGCTGATGCGCTCACAATTAAACCTTTGCACCTTGAGTAGATCCTGGCAGCTGCGAGGTTCACAAACACTGACAGACGGTCCGCTTAGAGAACCAATTTTGGTTGCCCAAACACCCAAGTCCTCCTCATTGGAATCCGCTAAAGGCATACAGGAACTGCACTCGTCCCCCTGCAGCGGCCGCGTTCATGAAGCCGTGTTGTTTTTTTTCTCAGAAAATGAAAGAGAACACACACAAGAACAAAGCTCAGCCTAAACTTTCTCAAGAGCACTTCAATTTTTGACACACCTTTCTTCACCAAAGGCGCCTCCAGCTCCTCTTGATTGAGTCTTTGAAGATCGACTTCCAGACCGTCGCTATAAGGCCAAAGTTTCAGCTTTGCTTGCACTGATATGAGTGCAAGAAGAACTGAGATGTACTGCACGACCGCCATGGCTCATGAGATTTCTGCAAATCTGCGTTGAAGTGATCTTGTCTTGCTGGACATGCTCCACCTGCGCTCTCAGGCTTCAGGGGTGCTTGAGTTAGGGTGGGTTTCAGCTTGACATTTAAGGCACATGTGACATGTGTAGCAGAAAACAATTACTGTATACAAGCAAAAGTAAAAGTGTCTTTGAAGCATGTCCTCATTCTGGACTACATCTTAAAGCTGCAAATGGCACAGGGAAATGGAGATCCAGCTAAAGCATCAAGACAGTAGCCACTTTGTTTTGTTGGCTAAACTCAGGAATAAACTGCAGCAAATGATATCATAGCAGTTGCATTGCACTCAAGCGAGCATCCAAATGTCAAATTGGCACACCAGTGTTTTTCTTCCATTCACACTGCTTTCATCTTTCTAAACATAAACAGATACTCCTGCTTCAGTCCTCGGCACAGGTCGCTCGATTGTGAATGTATCAATCACAGACCGATTGACAGAATCAATCAAGTCAAAGTTAAGTTTGGTAGAGCTTTCAAAGTGAAGCCTCGCATAACCAAGAGAGGCTTGACGAATCACCGACCAGTCAGGGCATTCTTCCCAGCGGTTCGTGAGGCCCTCGGAATCGCCGGCATTGCCGATCACCGCGTGGACTGTGGCTTTGGGATTACTGTAGCTCTTAGCCACCGTCACGTTCTGCACAACCGGCCAAGTGCGCTCATAGTTGTGGAGGTGGCCACCAAGGAAAAGATCAACCTGGTAGGCCTGGAACAACGGTTCCAGCTCCTTACGAAGGTACAGGCTATGGATCTCACAATCATAGTAGTCATTCGTGGAGCAGTACAGCGGCTTGTGAGCAAACACAACGATCCATGGCACAGTCTCACGGTTTGCCGATGCGATTTCCAGGTCAGCTTTGATGAAAGGCAGCTGGATGTTCAAATGGTGCTCAGTAGAAAAGGTCATGAAATGAACACCGCCATAATCAAAGGAGTACCACAGGTTGCCATTGGAAGCAGCAGCACCAGGCATTGTGAAGCGCACTTCATAGCCCGTGAAGTTGTTGAAGTGTTCGTGATTTCCGACACAGACCATGTAGGGCCGTTCGCGAGCAATGGGTTCTATCTCCTTCATGAAATGGTCCCAAATGTTTTCGTCTCCGCCAGTGTATGCAATATCACCAGCATGCAGCAGCATTGAGTAGGTACTATCAGCAGCAAGAGAGGCGATTGTTGCATTGCCACAGCCCGCCTTGTCACAGTTTTCCCCGAGGTCTGCCACGGCAGCAATGGTGATAGGAAAAGTGCCCACAGCGGGGGGTGATTGAAATTCATGCCAAGATGTCCCATCACATGAATAGGACAATCGCACATTCACAGGAACTTCATCCATGCGAACAGAATGAATCCTGCCCAACCATCCTTCGTTGTTGTAGACCTTGGATGTTCCTTCATATGTTCGGACAAAGGTTGTTCCGTTGGATGTTCCATTGATGCTACAACTCGAGCGGTTGTATGAGACAGCGCTCATGAACGTCACAGTTACCACGCTTGGTTTTTCGCCCAAAGCCAAATGAAGCTGTTCAGGTCCATGGTTCGGGCCGCGAAGCGGGTCCGAACGGCAACCAAAAAGCAGCACAAGGAACCAACCGAGGCGCCAAGTCGCCATTGGAGCAAATCTTGCCATCAAAAATGTATGCTCAAAGCAAAGTACTTCACAAACAAGTGTCCATTCACCTACAAACGAGGAGTCTGCATCTCTGGAAAAACCCGCTCAAACTGAATTCGCCCTCATATGTTTTTGTTGTTTTTGTAATGTCATCTTTTTCTGCGCGCTCTCTTTCAGACTCTATCGCGTTTGAGCTTTGCAATTTCACAGGGTCAGAATCATGGTCACACACACACACCTGGTGCAAAAAAGATCCCCTTCAACAGGTGCTTGCATCGTTGCAGAAGCGATGTTGCATCTATTCTCAAATTCAAAAAACCGTTGCAGCGAGCTGTATGTCACGAGAAATTAGTTCCGACTTGTTTGGAGTTCAAAAAACACAAGAATGTTGGCAACAAAAACCAAGGCCGCCGGAACAGGGTGTGAGTTTGGATTAACTCAAACCCAAAACCCGGAGGCAAACTATGTATCTTCAACCCCACAATTAACTCAAGCCCTCGAGATTTCAAACACCAAGTGCAACTGAGAAAACGCTAAGAACTTTCAAAGGTTGCTTTGGCAGCACAACGCGCACACAAAACCCTCCCTTTCTTGACCATCAAGGCCAGTGGGCGTCTTGTCAGTACAAGGTATGAAAACGATCAATTATTGCACCTCAACTGAACATGTATGTGACATGAAGTGCATTCAAACATTCTTGCAAGTTTGGCCGGATATCTCACCGTAAAATTTGCCTATCTGCATCATCTAAACAGCACTGAAGTAGGTCTAGGCTAAATATCCATCGCACTCGGATCTTTGATCCACTTTCAGGTCTACCGACGTTTCCATGCACAAGGTTTGCAAGTTCTCTTCTCTGGCACGTGGTTCAGATGGTGCACGCACCGTTTGTTGTGTCCATTGTATACTCGTACTGTGTTGTCACGCCACGTTTTCAACTCACTGGCACAGCACTTTGTAAACCTCAAAGTGCAGATTTCGAGGCAGCCAGCACTTTGTGAACCTCGAAGTGAAGGTTTCGTGGCAGACGCGGCATTTTGCACTTTGTGCTCTCAGATGCTCACTCACTCACTCACTCACTCTCACTCACTCTCACTCACTCTCACTCACTCTCACTC